TGCTGCTCACAGGCAGAGCATAGCTAGTCATGTTCACAGCTGATGCATCTCCAAAAAATTCTTCATGAAGGCAGCCAGCTTCTCAACGTCTTCAGTTGTGACAGCATTATACAGAGAAGCACGGATGCCTCCCACTGACCTAGAACAACAGAGACCCAACCATGAAGATCAAGAAAATCAGGAGGAGAAGGCATACCATCAGAGTTAAAGCCCTTGCCTACCATACATACGGCTCAGGCCTGAACCTCAACGACACAGAAAAAAAGTGAAATTCAAAAGTCATCTATTTCAACACAACACAACTTTCACTAATCACCCCTCCGAAGAGTAGCACCTGAGCCCAGAGCACTCAACTTCCCTCTTACAAACCATCCCCAATCCGTAGCATGAAGCTTCTGAGTCATTATGGAAATCCCTTGTTCAGTGAAGGTCATCCACCATGCTCACACTGGATTACCACAAACTAGTCACATTTTTAGAGTAATTATTAACAATATTTATACAAATTAATGGGTTTCAGTCTGATATTTCCATACGTGCATACACCAGACTTTAATCATATTCAAACTGTTCACAAAGAAGAAACTAAATGAGGGGGAATAAAGCCAGCTGAAGAGGTGACTGGGTTTGGGACCATACCACTCGCTAGTCTTTGCAACAGTTCCAACCAGACAGACTGAGAGCTGTGCTGCTGCAGGTCTCCTGTGTGAGGACGTTTGTTGTTCAGGGTATCTGATGTGCAGCTGAGCCCAATGATGGTCTAACACCAGAGTGGAGCAGGCAGGCCCTACCAGAGGCACTTTCAGAGCTGACCCAACCCAATGCAAGATATGTTACAACCCAGCCATAAGTGGGTTTATTCCCCAGCAAGTCTGTTACCGCTACTCCCAGCTGTGCAAGGTCTTGGGTTTGTCTCATTCTGCCTCTGACATGCCTGGGGATGAGTTTTGCTTACCTGTGTCCCTTCAAGGAGATCATATTGAGTTCCACCGCCTTATCAAGAAAGCGCTTTTCTAAAGCTTCGTCTCCTTTGGCATTGCCAATGCGAAATGGAATATTCATCCTGCTTCTATTCTGGCGTTCCACTGGACACCTGAAAAGCATGTTTATTATTTATTAGTCCAGCAATGTTTCTAGCGGGTGTAATGTCATAAATAAATCTACAGGTTTCTAAACAGTATCAGGGCTGGGGCTGGCATTCAGCTGACTCAACATGTAGAAGGTTCTAGGTTCTGGAGGCATAAGCAATCAGGAAGTAGAGCCATGAGGATCAGTGATCAGGGTCATTCATATGGCCACATAGTGATTTCAAGGCCAGATTTTAAGACCCTGTCTCAAAAATAAACAACAAATGGATGAGTTAAAAGACCCACAACAAGAAATTAAAATAAAAAACCTTCCCAGAACATTATGACAAAAAAGCCTCACTCATATAAGTTAGCATTCGCTTGTATGACTTCTATCTAATTTCTGTCAGAGTCAGCCCTTCACTTGAATATTAGGAACCGCAATGTCTGTTTCCCAATTTCCCACGATCTGACAATTCAGTGGGTCATTTACATGGCTTCCAACACATGCCATCCTAGTGTACATCTTTCTCAGCAAGGCTGCAGACAAGCTGGGCCTACAGGTGGCCAAAGACTTAAGACTCAAAGATCTGGACTTGCAGCTCATGCCCCCAAATTATCCACCCCTTCA